CCCGCCACGCCGCCGCCGCCGCCGCCGCCGCCGCCGCCGCGTGGTGCCCTCCGCCGCCGCCGCCGTGGTGCACCAGGTGCGGCGCCCGCCCCGGCGGCGGGTGCTGCGGCGGCGGCGGCAGCTCGTCGCCGCGCCCGCCCGCCTGCACCACCGCCGGCTTGATGTCGGGCTGGCCCAGCGCGCCCGCCGACCAGGGCGCCTCGCCGCCGCCGCCGCCGCCGCCGCCCCCGCCGCCGCCGCCGCCGCCGCCACCGCCGGGGCCACCGTGGGACAGCGCCGCGATCCACTGGTGAGCGTGGCTCAGCGGGTGCCCGTTGCTCTGCAGCGCGTAGTCCGCCTGCACCAGGGCGCCGGCGTCGCGGTAGCCGCCGCCGGGCTGCATGCCGCCGGGCGGCTCGGCGTGCACCATGGGGGAGCCGGAGGCGAGCAGGCTGTAGTGGTTGGAGGCTGCGGTCGCCATGACTCGCCGAGCCGCACTGATCGCGCCGGTTAAAGGCGCCGCGCATTTGACAGCTACTTTTTCGCCTCGGGCGCCGCGCGGCGCCCGCGCCCCCCCGGCCCGCGCGGCGGGGCCCACTGCGAAGGCACGCGCGGCCGCCCCGCCCCGCCGCCGCGCGCCATTGGCTCCCCGCGCCCTGACAGACGCGGCGCTCCCGGCGACCGCCGCCGCCGCCGCCCGCCATTGGCGCGTCCCTCCGGCGCGGCCACGCCCCCGCCCCCGCCCCCGCCACGCCCCCCCGGAGCCCAACTCCGAGGGGGAACGGGGCGCGGGGGAGCGGGACCGCGGGGCGGGGGGAGCGCACGGAGGGGAGGGCAGGGCAGGGGGCGCGCCGCCCCGGCCCCGCCCCGGCCCGCCCCGCCCCGCCGGCGGGAGGAGGATGCTGCTGCCGCCGCCGCCGGTCCGCCCGCCGGCTCCTGTTGCTCTCACCCCACCGCGGGTCTCTGCGCGGATCGCGGTCGTGCCGCCCCGGAGCGGGCGATGCGGATCCGGGGGGTACCCGCCTGCCCGCCCCCAACTTTCTCAGCGCCGCCTCACAGCCAGCCCCGCCGGAGGGGCCGGGAGCGCCGCGCCACCGGGGGCGGGGAGCCGGGACAGGGCGGCCTCCTCCCTGCCCGCTGGCCCTGCCCTCCCGCCACCCAGTGCTCTCCGGAGCGCCCCGCTTCTCCGGGGATGTCGGGGCTTCGCACCTCGAGGACTGCGGTGGGGGGTATTGTTCTGCTTGTCCCGTCCCTTGGGGATGGGATGCCTGCGGGACCGCCTCGACGGCGCTGGCGGCTCTGCGTTGCTGCGGAAGATTGGGGGTGAGGGGGTGGTGGAGAAAGGAAAAAAAATAGGAAAAAAAGAAGGGGATAGGGAAAAAGAAAAAAAAAAAAGAGAAGTTGCGGCCCGGACAGGAAGCAAGGAGACCCTGGAACTGGATCCGGATTTCCTAGGAATGAGCAGCGCCCAGCTGGCCGCCGCGAAAAGAGTTCGCTGCCCATTTTTGAGCTGAAAGCCGTAGCTTTGTCTCGAAAATAAACTGCTCACGGGGGTAGGTGCGCGTCGCAGGCTCCCGCTATCTTCATCGAAATAACACAATAGGGCGAACCGGGGAATTTATTACTACTAACAAGAAACAGCTTTCTTCTGCGAGTTGTTTATAAATCATCGTGTTTAACGTGAGCGCTGGAAAGGCTCCTTGCCTGGAAATATTCCTCTGCGTGGGGGTGTGGAGGAGCGGGGGGATGGGCTCCTGCACATAAACATATACACAGCAGCAGCATAAACAGGATATCCAGTGCCCTGAGACAAGGGGCGCAGCAGGAGTTACCTCGTTTCGTTAGTTTAGCGGCATGTCAAGAGCTCCTTCTGCCGGGGGGTGGGGAGGGGAAGGAAGGAGGGAGGAGAGGAGGAGAAGGGCACAAACTTTGTTCATGAAAGAGTGGAGATTCTTCCTAAAGGTTTCCCCTCCACCACCACCACCCCGCTTTTTCGAGGTGCAGGCGAAAGAAGGAACAATACTGCCTGCTCTGCAAGTGTCGCGGCGAAGAAAGTCAGTGCCTCTGAAGTGAAGCTCTGCCTTTTGTTTCCCGTGTGTAAACAACTGGGCACCCAGGAATTTTATAATTTGATGCTCATTTTCTCGTCTCTCTCCTCCCAATTAGGTGTAGACCAGTGAGTTGAAACAAAACAACAGGGCAAGTCCGCAGCAGGCTTCTGCCAAGGCATCGCGGGGACCGTCCTGGAAGAGAGCCGCCCCGCTCTCCGCGTCCGGGCCAGCCCTCCGCCTCGCTGCCGGGGCCACCGGGGCTCTGCCAGGGGCGGCTTTTCTGCAAGCCCGCCTCCAGGTCTGCTGCCAAAAGTTCGTGCGTGGACGAGACACGAGGGGCCACGCCACACGTCATTTTCAGACCGAGGTTTTCACGTGGGTCCTTTCAGCGTGCGGTGCTCCCGCAGCAAGGACCTATCCCGGTGGTCGTCCGACAGACCTCCTTTGTGCCCCGGCCCCACGGCGTGTGCGCGCCCCACGCACCGCCGCTCCCCGTGGAGTGCCGGCATCACCGCTCTCCCCGCGGCTCGCCGCGACGAGGAGATGGGACACGGGTGTCAGCGAGATCCAACCAATACTTTTTTTTCTGAGGGGAAAACCCCTCCAGCCCTGCCCCGGTCGTGCATTTCCTGCCCCCCCCCTTCCCCCCTCCGTCCCTCTGTCCCGCCTAGCCTCCTAGCAGGTGATGCCTATGGTCACAGACCTCCGTGCCTCTCACCCCCACCGCCCCAGCGGCGGATCTCACGGGCTAACGGTAATTGCAGTTACCGAAGTAGCACTACGGCCTTAGGAGGTGGACAAAACCCCGGCCCGCCGGCAGAGCCTCCCGGCGTCCCTCCTGTCCCCTCCCTGGCGGAGCGCACGCCTACGGAGACGCAGCTGGGAGCAGCGAGGAGCGCGGCCGGTGCATTCAGAGCCGCCGCAGACTCCACCTCCTCGTCCTCCCCATCATTGTTAGCTCTGTCATTAATACCGCTCCTTAAGCATCCTCCGCTCCCGTCTCCCCCCGTGGAGCGGAGCGCCGGGGAGCGGGAAGCGGGCGCCCGACCGCCGCTCTTGCCGCCGCGCCGCTGTCCGCCGCAGGCTTCGGCTCCGGCCGCCGCTCAGGTCCGGGCCGCTCGGGAT